AAAAAAAAATTTGTGCTCAGAATCGAAAATTCCACTCGCGTTTTACGTATCAGACATCAAGGATCAAATTTGGTTCAGTGTTTGTCTGTAGCCAAATCGATGTAACGGGCATATCACCTACTACCGTTCATAGAATTTTCATAAAATTTTCAAGCATTGAGTGGGTTGCTGCTTTCATATCAATGTTATCAAATTCTAACCAGCACTTCCATTCTAATCGCATTTTTTTAGATACGCCAATATTTCAGAAATGCCTCGTTCGATTTGGTTCGAAATTGGTTAAAAGGAAGGTATTTGTGAAAAAAAATGTAGGGTCAATTTTATAAAATTCTGTCCGTTCCTTTCTCTTATACATGCGCAAGCGTGTTTTCCTTGATACATCTATATCTCCAAAACCGCAAGTTCCATTTGGCTAAAATTTTGAGCGAATTTTGGGATTGGTAAACATAAAATGAAATAGCTATAAATTTTATCAAATTCTATCTAGCACTCCAAATATATATATATATATATATATATATATATAATATATATATATATATATATATATATATATATATATATATATATATATATATATATATATATATATATATATGTATGTATGTATATCCGCTTTCAAATCAGGAAATGTGTTATTTGATATGCCTATAATTTGAAAACTGCGGATTCGATTTGACCCAAACTTGAGGAAATCTTGAGAACAGTATAGAAATTACTAAGTATCAATTTCATTGAATTCTATTTAATAATTAAAATTAATATAAATAATTGTTAACAATATAATGAATGCTGCGAAATGTTGAAAGCACTGATAATATGGAGTGGGACTTAGGTTATTACAATATTTTTATGGGGTTATAAAATTTTAGGTTTTATTCAAAATTGATAGGTTTTTTTTTTTTTAATCAAGCATACTCAAATATGGAATCTTCAAATATGGCACTCTTTCGCTTTTAATATTAGCTGATCAACGAAATTCGTGGATATCAAACCCGTGAATGTTGAAGGATAATTGTAATTCCGAATCGGCTTCTCCCAGTGATTTTATTCTCATACGAAAAACTGTATGAATTGTAATATTTTAGCGAATGGAAACGGTGAATAAGCTGTACTGATCTTACTTGGCAGATTTTTTTTTTTTTTAATTTACTTGGCAATGAAATAAGTAACTGAATTTGAAATTACGAAAATATTGCTATGGAATATAACTCCGACTTACCCATAAATCTTTCCTCCACTTTTAATTAATAGAACCATTGAATTCATTAATTGGAACTTGGGATATACATATATTTAAATTTGAGTTTATTTTTCGATAATAATTTATTGTTGAAATAATCAAAATGAACATTAGAAGGCGTTGATGACCTCGGGGTTTTACGACTCTAAGCCCTAAATAATTTATTATGTTATTGTATTATATGTAAATATGAAATGTTTGTTATTTTTATGCTCATTAGGCGTTTGTTTTTATTAATATTATCAATTGGTTACATTTTTTTAGAAATAATAATTCTCTTGTTTTTATTTAACAAGTAATTGGGAGTTTGCGTTATTTTGTCAAATTAGTATATTAGTGTATTGATTAAGGCGCAAATGCATATTTTATAGACAAAAAAAAAGTATATGCATATTATACTTTTAAACATATATACTTATGTATTCTTTATCTGGGAACATTAGAAGGCGTTGATGACCTCGGGGTTTTACGACTCTAAGCCCTAAATAATTTATTATGTTATTGTATTATATGTAAATATGAAATGTTTGTTATTTTTATGCTCATTAGGCGTTTGTTTTTATTAATATTATCAATTGGTTACATTTTTTTAGAAATAATAATTCTCTTGTTTTTATTTAACAAGTAATTGGGAGTTTGCGTTATTTTGTCAAATTAGTATATTAGTGTATTGATTAAGGCGCAAATGCATATTTTATAGACAAAAAAAAAGTATATGCATATTATACTTTTAAACATATATACTTATGTATTCTTTATCTGGGTTTTATTAACTTTCGAGAAATTAATCCATACTGAATGTAAAATTTTAAGAGCAATGGAGTGGAAAAACAACAAACGTCCAAGGTCTATCGCTAAACAGCAAAGAAAGAGATTATTTAATTCCGGCGAAGAGCCTGAAAATACAAGGATAAACGATACTCTCCTGCACGTTGGACGTAGAATTCAAGAGATCATTAGAGTTGATTAATACCTCAGATAGAAACGTGAATGTTCAAGTACAAAAGTGCAACAATTAATGGATATTATGGGACCAATTAATGTTAAACATAGATGAGCAAACGGTTATTTATTATGAAGAGAAGAATAGTTGTGGTGTTCAGTCAAAAAAGGAAGGAAAAATAAATTATATTTATTTTTTACATATGCCGACGTTTCGACCTATATAATAAATAACTAATTATATAATAAATAACGTTATAGGTTATTTATTATATAATTAGAGAGACATAAGCGTCCCACACTGTTTATGAAAACATGAAAAATCAGTACCAATCGTCATAAGTTCGCTACCACGGAACCATAGAGGTTACCGGAGGCATTAGGAACATCTCGTTAATTAACAGCAGCTATAGGAGAACCGCATTCATCAGACTCAGAATCAGTAGCCACAGATAAATATCGTCTTCGTATTGAAGAGAAGACGAAAGAAGGAATAGGCCTCGATCAAAATAAAACAACTATGGCAGATACAGTTAAAGCTCTGGATACAGTAAAGCCATCTTATGTGATCATAGATGGGGAACGTAAGAGAGCAGTTGAATATTATTAACGATTTTCCACATGCAACAGATCACTGAATAAATTCAAGAGCTGTTCGTGCAACCAAAGCTGGTTCAGTTTTTATTTGTGTGGTGTAAGACGCCCATGTAAAAAATATGATTTGAGTAGCACACATTGAAATATACTGAGATAGAGACAAGACTGAGCCTAAAGAGTAAGCTGAAGTTAAAAGTAAAAAGTGTTCCACGATCACGGATAAAATCTTGAAAGGGTACTGCGGGAGAAGTTAGTAACGAAAAGAGTTCGTACAGCGGAAAACAAATAGGGTTATATTAACTCACTGCCTTCCGCAATGGTAGGAAACTAAATTGCAAATGATATGGTGCAGAGGGGCACCTACTATTTAGGAATAATTCTCTGAAGGTGGAAACCATAGCTGGGTTTGGTATACGTTGACGTTCACTAATAACCAGATGCTCCTCAATGTATTTGATGCTAAAGATAAGGGCATACTATACTAGGACGACGTACCTAAAAAGACTGCTCTCAAAAAATAAATAAGGAAATCCTGATTTGTATTAAATGTGTAAGAGAAGGCATCTCTTATAGCAAAGCTAAGCACTGGAGGTAGCAAGAAGAAGTATTTATCACTAAAGTCACTGTGATCTGACGAAACTCATGACGAATTATTTTAACCCGTTTTCTTTAGAGCAAGTCATCCATAGAAATATGTTTCAAACAGAGGCAGAGGAACCACGATGAGAAGTTGAAGATAGGGCGGAGCAGTATGTGATGTTGCTACTTTTCAAAATAGCTTTCGACAGTTTAATGCCTAGCGTCCTCCAGCATCTGCAGAAGTACGATTCTCCCAGTAACTTATGCACTAATTGGAAGCTACCTCCAAGACATGTGTATCAAGATTAGAGGGAATTACTACGAGGTGGAAGCTTCCATAGGGAGAGATTGCTCTCAAGTTGCCTGGCAACCGGATAACAGAGATTTGAGATGATATAAAAAGTACGAGTTCGCGTCCCGGTGCCGGAGGGGATTTTAAAAAAAAAACCGTATAGCCTAAAAGGCGAGGTAGTAACTTCAGTAAGTATCTCCTTTTTGGTTCCAGAACCGCACACTAAGACAGAAAAATAGGCTAGCAACGACTCAGAGGAGGGCTATGATTTGGGTCAGCTAACACTTTAGACACAAGCGGTGCAGGTTCTGTTAGGAGAAATGACTCTAGAGTACTTTCGGAAAATCTTCAGGTGAGGATTATGGATGGAAGAAGATAATACACGATGGACGCATGAAACTGACAGTGGGTAACTAAATCTAAAGAAAATGCATTAAGTATTTATCTCTGTATAGTCGAGGCTTCAGATAATGTGATTTCTCCGAGACTACAGGGTTTTAGATTTTCTCACAAGGCATGGAGGATATGGAACTAAGCTTCATAGTCTGGTCATTGATGTAGATCCTCTATGTCCAAAATGTGGTGATCCGTAAAGTGTTTGATGGAAACAACCGTGACGTCATATTGTCATGGATAAGGTAAAATAAATAAATAAAACCGGCACTTTAAAATTGATTTTTTAAACCGTTTTGGCAATTCTTCTAATTAGTTTACCTTTGGAGTTTGATTGAATTGGAACGAAAGACAAGTTTGCAGCAGGTAAGGAGTTGACTTATTTGTTTTCCTTAATTATGAACGAAAGTAATTTGCTTCAAATAAAATCACTAATAATCTTTCCTCTCGACTTGCTCACTTTTATATTTCTTTGATATTCAGGATGTATATTAAATTCTTTACAATCCATCTTCATCTAAAACTTCTATATGGAAGGAAAAATAAAGAAAATGTTTTTTATGAAGTAGATTTAAATTTACTTACATCAAACACAGCTCTGCATACTAATAATAATTTAAGATAGGTCTTCTTCGTTTTTATTTATTTTATTAAAAACTTTAGGTCGTCCAAGATGATTTGGATTTATTCCTATATAAATCATTAAAATAAATTTTTGTTTTTAGTTTTCAAAGGCCAATGACAATTGAAAAAGATTCTTAATGTTATAATGAAAATGGTAATGATTCTTAAAATGAAATCTTTACAAGTAATAGTAGCACTCTATGCTTTCTCTTTCACTTGTCAGTAGAATTTTAAGAACAACTTTTTTTTTCTCTAACGTAGTAAAGTACATAATTATTATAAATATTTTGAGAGCACATAAAATGTAAGAATATGTAAATCTTATTACAGACCGAGCAGCTGGCTGTACTTTGGGTCTTGTTTCTCCTCATTGTTCTGGGAAACTCCTCCGTACTTCTGGCTCTGGCTTTCAACAAGAATAGGAAGTCACGTATGAACTACTTCATCATGCAGCTAGCAATTGCAGGTCAGTTATTTATATTACATTTTCGCTGTTATAGACAATTTGATCGGATTTTGTTACCGTACACGAATTTCAGATACATTAGAAAACCTGAAAAGTCGAATTACCTAATACAAAGTAAATTTGTGTCTTGTTACTTAAATGAATTATGAATATGTTTTTTTCTCCCTGCCTGAAAACGGTATGCGGGTATACGTTTTTAGATACGGGACGGTTATCCTACAGGAAATGTAACGAAAAAGTAAATTATTCCCCCGCCTCATATTAATAATTTACAAGAGTATTTTGAGACCAGCCCTCCTTTACGGAGGACCAATACTATCCAACATTTCGCGAAATACTATCCAATAACGCAGAAGCTCCAACAATTTCAGATCGGTATTCTAAGAAAATAGCAAGATACACGACTTCACAAAAAACACGTATTGGCCTACTACATACTACCCTGGAATTACCAGAGGTGAGCGACCTCATTACACGCTGGTATATCAAATTCTTTGACAGCCACACTCGAAACTCGAAAAAACCCACTTTTCTAACCACTCAATCACGTACTAATTGATGGCAGACTTAAGTTAAAAACATCTGAGTTGATTGAGAAAAAGAATTGACATTTATAGGACACTAGTGAACCCAGTCAATGGACTAAGACTTCGACCATAACTACAAATAAAAATCTGGTGGGCGGAACACACAACATTCTCTTACCGCTCTACTTTGAATAGAAATGATTTTCTGGCAATGCTGGGCTATTATAAAATTGTTGAAGTATATTTTATACAGAGCTAAAGCTTACAGGTAGCAAATTTAAAATTACAAAAAGCCTATTTATTATATCGACGGTAGACAATAAAAAATATAGTTACTCCATTTGCTTTTATAAACCACACTTGAATTGGGGGTTAATCATTCTGTCAACCGAAAGGCTCATGTATGCCCAGAGAGGTTTGAAAGTTTTTAATATTTAATTTAATTTAACTTAATATTTAACCTATAAATATTTATGGATTGTAGGACTATTAGTTATTAAACTGTTATTTTCCATTGTAAATTTTACTAAAACGAAATTACGAGATTTCCATTGACTTCAATGGATAGGTCAAAAGTTTTCACACTAATTGTAAGTGAATAACTATGTGATTTCACAAAGGGAAACGACATCAAATTATTCACTAATTTAGTTTTCTAAAGGTTAATTGCCAAAAGATACCTAACTATTTAAATCTAATATCTTATATAGAGTTAATACTCCATAGTAAATATATTTGAGGTAATAAACATTTTTATATTTCACTTGTTCCTTTCACACAAGCATAATGAAATATTATTTTAAAAAATGGCATTGGCTTGATTCGGTGAATTTTAAATACTTTTTTTTTAAACTTACAAAAACATTTAAAAGTTTACATATAGTAAGAAAATTGCATTTGATTTCCTTCATTTATGTTACATTGCATTTATGTTAAATAATGTTAGTTTTCTAAAATTATTATTTATAATATGTTCGTCACTCTCCGTTACCTTCTACAATTTTCTATATTGGATAATGCTTTTTCTGAAATTCTCAGCTTTCCAACGATATATTATACATATATCTTTTGTATCTTGTTCGTTCTAACCCTGAAGAAGACCTGCAAAGTTGGGTCGCAACGTTGGCTTGAAATAATTTTTTTTCTCATTATTTTACTCTTTTTATGACCGACACCACAGACCTTCTCCTTACTCAGTAATATACAACGGTCAACCATCAAGTATTCAACAAAAACAGATATATCTTTCTTTATAATAATTATGAATATTAATAATAATGAATGCGAATAAATATTTACCACAAATTGTATATTACAATACCGATTTTAAATTATATTACCTTCTTAGATGTTTAGAATCACCCAAGTGCCATAATCGGTACAATACAACCCAGACAATCATGCAAAAATTAATTTATCAAAAGAAAGCAAATGTAAAAGTATCATTTCACTTTCATGTATGACTAATTCTTTGATAAAGGGAACTTAAATATATTGTCAATTCTCCAAATTTCACCAGAACCTTACTTACCACCCAAATCCTCTTGCACAATCTCTATCAAGCACCTCCCATCCCTATAATCCTCCAAGAAGGTTGAAACGGCAGTGGCCTCGCGACCTTTTGTAGATTGTATAAATTGGAGTTCTGGCAATGGCCAGATTCTTCACTCAAGACATGTGTGTATGTGGCTAAAGTGCTCTCGACCAATCTCCGCTGGCTTTAGTACCAGTGACGCGGTTGGGAGAGTAGCGCAGGGATCTCCTGGAGTTCCCTCGTCTGATTGTATATAGGTATGCATGTGTTTTTTTTTTCTTAGTTTTAATTTTCTTATTTTTTAGGTTACTTTATTTTATTGTCTATTGTATATATACTTTTGATTATTATTTTGTTCTATTTGTTTTATTTTTTTTGTACATATAGTGTGAATGTCATCCTACCTCACTATAACCAATGTCCAACAGACAGATTGTTATAATACTCAATAACGAAAAAAAATATATATATATATATATATATTGTCAAAAAAAAAAGAAATTTTCTTCAGGAACAATAATTTTCAGAAAAAAATAAATAGCGTAAAAATATAAAGGTGGATATATAATATAGTTTTATTTTATTTTTGGTCAGAAAACTTGTTACTTACGAATCAATTACTAAAAAAAATAATAATTTTATAACTGATATTATAATTTAAAATAATATTATACAAACAAAAGCTGACCTTTTTACTTTCACTTACCTATTTATCTAATATTTAGTAGCAGAAAGCATTGCGATCGTGAAATGTTTTTATGTTTATTTTTAATAATCTTGATTTTACTAAAGATAAAATTTCTACAAAATTAGTTGTTACAACGGGTTTCATCGTTTCATCTTGAAGTAGGGTTAGGGGTATTTTCTCATGAACTATTGAGGGCTCTCTTGAGATGAACCCTGTTTTAAAACAAATCGATGTTGATTGAACCAAAGACGCGGTAGGTAAATGTTCACGGCCACTACCCGGAATTTTTTTCAGCCAAAGACTTGTCTTGATTCTTTTCCAAAACAGGGACGAAGAGAATCGATATTTTACTGTATCCATTATGGCAGTGGCAGTAACCTGCTGAATATTATTCAGCAGCAATTTATAGGCATTGTTTCTTTTAGCCCTACCCGAACAATCTCTTGATTTAATTTCAAGGCAGGGATTGTTCCAGTACACGTCCATCAATTCCAGTAGAAACTGTTTATTCTGTTAATTTTAAGTTTAGTATACAAGTTTGGTATCAAAGTTTTGTGCTTACAAAATAAAAAACTTCCTTAGTTAACAATTCTAAATATCGTTTCGAAATAGTTTGGGTGGGATAACCAGGAACTTACCAATTTGAAGCTTTCTCCAAACTAACTTTGGGTACTTCTTTAAGATTTGTGGTGTCCCAAGAAGATGGAGGGAACCAAATCGTCTGGAAAGCAACAATTGCCATTGTTCGCTTTCTCGCCATTCCGGATATACGAGATTATTCTGGGTCAAGGGAGGAGGAATTAAAGACGTAGTTCAAAGTCCACCCCGGCACCGAGATTCGAAACCTAAATAAAGGGAGTTTGTACTATGAACAGATTGGCAATCGTCGGTCATTTTCGGAATTCCATTTAAAGAGTGCTCATGATCACTCGTCAAAGTGGACCAACACTTGTAAAGTACTACTGAATATAATTTATTAATAAAATTTAGCTCATTTTAATAATAATAATAAATATTAACCCTATGTGTTCATTTATAAAATGAGAGGACAAATGTATGAGGATAAATGTAGTATCAAATTGGCTAACTAACTAATGTTTAATTATGGTTAAATATGAGTAGGGTATAAATGGCGGTTCTACTCCCAGAATTTGCGGAGCACTTTTGGACTTTGGACCCTAGGCTATTCTTACCTTAACCACCTGTACACCACGTGACCAATATAATTTATTTTGATTGATATTAATCCCTAATCTTAATCCTTAATCTGTAATGCTAATCCCTAATCCTAATCCCTAATCCTAATTTGTATTTTTTTTTCAAGTTCGACACGTTTCAACTTGTCAAAACTAGTTCCAACTCGTTGAACTCAGCTTCTAGTGTAGAACCGCCATTTATACCCTACTGCTTATAACCTAACAATAACCTCTCTACTTTTTTTTTATTTCATCATAGGGTTCCTCGTGCTACTCTACAGGCCTTCCCATATGTTATAACCTCAGTGTAACCTCCCTACTCTTTGTATTACATTATTATATGTATTATTTTGATTAATATTTGAAAAATATATGTATTTTTTCTAGTAATAGTGTGTAGAAGCTCTAGAAATTTCGGATTTGGATACTTTTAAGTAATTGTATGTATGTAAATACTTTGAATAATTATATTACGCACTTAGTGAACTTCTTATAATTGTTTATAATATCGTATATTTCTAGCGAAATTAGTGTTAGGATGTTGAATTTTAGTTTTATAGCTGTATTAGACTCTACTTATACAGGAAAATTATTACAACATTAGTGAATTTCTTTCATAAAATATAAAGAATGTCGTATATTTAAGATAATATTTATAATAATACACTGCGATTTAGTGATATATATCATAAATATTGTGTATATTTTAAAGAACATTACGTGAAATGTGTTGATGTTATTAAACAATGTTGAAATATCACAATGAAAAAATATATATAAGTTATAAGAAAGTTTACATACGTAAAACATGAACAAATGTAGAAAATATATAAACAATAGCTAAACAAAGTGGAGAAAATAGTTAAATCAATGGATAAATTTAAATTAAAACTATAAGAAATATAGTAAATTTTGTAATAAAATGTCTTAAAATGGTGTGAAAATACGTTCATATATGAAATAAATAAACAATAAAAATTGTATATGTAACTAATATAAATGTATTTGAAATATTTAAACTACAGTGTAAAAGTGTGAATATGTGTTAAATTTAA